GTGCAAACGGGCCCTGGGTGGTGCTGGCCGTCCACGCAGCCTCCAGGCCTGGGCACCAACGTCCCTCTTGAAGGCAAAGATGAGCCTGCACCGTGTGCTGTGTCCTCAAGGCAGCCCGGCAGCCCGGGAACCCAGGCTCGTGCCGGGCCGTCCTTTTGGTGGCCAGGAGATGTCACCATCACCTCTTTGGCAGAGCCAAGGTCAGAAGGCCATAGCAGGTGAGAGTTCAGACCAATGAGTGCAGCGTGCAGCCAGGTCGCCAGAAAAGCAGACCCAGCAGGAGAGACCAGTATGTGTGTATATATATTCACGTTGTAAGGACCTGGCCACGTGGTTATGGAGGCTGACAAGTCCCACGACCCACCACCTGCAAGCGGGAGACCCAGGAGAGCCGACGGTGTGAGTCCAGCCTGAGTGCAGAGGGGAAGCCACGTCCCAGCTCGGAAACAGGCCGAAACGGCGCGCTCTCCTCCCTGCCTTTCGTTCTATCCCGGCTCCAGCGGGTAGGAGGAGGCCCAGCCACACTGGGGAGGACCGTCTGCTTTACTCCGCCTACGAGTTCAAGTGTGCATTTCGCCATCCAGAGACACCCTCACTGACACACCTGGAGTAACCTGCAGAAGTCTGGGCGCCTGGGGCCCCGCAGAGCTGACGTGTAAAATTAACCGTCACATCCGGCGAGGGCTGCCCAGGTCCCTCCTTCCCCGGGCTCAGAACCTGATGCGTGTCGGCGCAGCCTGAGGGTACTCTGCCATCCTGGGAGACAGGAGATCGGTGCCTCTCTCACCCCAGCCCAGCCCCCGCGCCCGCCCTCAGTGTAAGCGAGGGGTCTGGACTGGCCGGCCTTGCAGCCTCTACCCCGTGATGCCGCCCTCAGTGCCTCTGGGAACGCTGGCCTCACAGGGCTGGTTTGGGGCCGCCCCCGCCCCGGGACAGGGCCTGCATGGCTCCTTCAGGCCAAGGGGCAGTGTGGGGACCCTCCTGTGCCCTCCAGCAGGGCCCCGCCCTCGGGACCAGAGTCCTCACCTCCCTGGTCGTCTTAAGGCTTGTTTTAAGACTTTCCCCAGAAATTGGCTCCCAGGCAGTCCCAGCTGAAATCAGTGCAGACAAGATTTCAGTTCATCCAAATGGAAAATAACGTTTGGTTTTTCCACTTTGCCACTCTGAAACCTTAGGAAACTGGTTACTTGATCCCTCTAACTGTGCAGTCACCCTGTGCCAGGAGGTGAGACCCCCCGCCCAGGGGACTCAGCCAGCGGCCCTGGCTCCTTCCCCCCAACCAGCCCATTCTCCTCCTCGATGCTGGATGGGAGGTCTGAAGTAGAATAAACTTAGCAGATATCAACGTCAATTGAGATAAACATCAAGCTTTATTGACCAAAGAGGCAAATACTGATGGAGCTTAAATACCAAATCAATATTTACCTCCAGGGACAACATAGCCCGAAATTGCAGTCGGGATGCGTGTGCTGAAACACATCCACAAATTTCCCACGTCTTCATCAGGAGCGCGGCCACTTCAGCAGCGGACGAGAGCCCGCAGACGTGCTGCTGGTCAGCTCGCGCAGGCACCAGGACGGGGCGCTGGCGGGAGTTCTGCACGACAAGGGCGAGCGTCAGCTTTACCCGCGGGGTCGGGGCTGAAGAGGACGGCCCGTGCAGGACGAGCCAGGAAACCAGCTGTGCTTTGCTGAGTTCACCTGAGAGGACACAGAGTTCCAGCCAGAAACGCAGCCGGTGCCTGCGCCAGCCCGGTCTTGTCGCCAGCCCCCAGGTGGCGTGTTCAGTGCCTGGCGTCCCAGCTTCCCGGCTTCCCGACCACGGGAAAGGGCTCACGGGAAGGAGAGTGGTGCGCATTGTCTGCTTAGAAAGAGAAGCTGCAGCAGGTGTGGAGGATTAAGAAGAGATTATCAGGGAAGGAAGCCAAGGGCCAAAGCTGTGCAGCTCCACCCACCAACTCCCCCGCCCCCCGAGATCTGGGGACCGGTCAACATCACTCAGTTTTGGAGGGGTGGCCCCTCACCCTCCCACAGCGCCCAGGAATGTCTGCCCACCTCACTCCATTTCCACCCTCCGTGGGACAGGTAAGGACTCAGAGGTTCGGAATTTCCTCTGTCCTCGAAGCCACAGTTATCTGCTCCAAGTCCAGCACATTCCCCACCAGAGCAGCCCCTCCCAGGCTAGGTGTCCGCTGCTGACCACTCATCACCAAGTCCCTCTCTGAATCGTCCTCAGCCCAGGAGGGGCTCTGCCCAAGATCACTGCCCTCCTAGGGGCGGCTGGATGCTGACTGGTCCACCGGAGCTCTGGCTGGGCCCCCGTATCCCCAAGGACCACCCAGCCCCTGAGCTCCCTACGGCACAGAGTTCAGCTTCTCCCTGTGTCCCTCCCCGCTTCTCAACAGCCCCCAGGAAGCCCCTCACACCTGCACCTTAGAGCGGGCTTCCCAGGAGCCTGACCGGGGACAGTCACCAAGGACATGAGAGACGCAGAGGGAGGCAGGGTTGGGGGTTCAGGCGGCCGCCCCTCCAGATGGCAGGTTTCTGAGGACGGGAACCATTCTCCTCCGGCTCACTGCTGTGTCCCAGGACCTGGTTGGCACCCGGGACGCAGTGGCCCTTAATTATTTTTTAATTGAATACATGAAGGAATTTGTGAGTTGGTAAGAAGAGGCAAAGACGTGTATCCTGTACCAAATTTGGGGCTTTTTGTTTTGTAAGCTCTTCCGTGTTCCAAGTTCCATGTCCTCCTAGTGGCAGAGTCTCTAGCAGAGCAGGGACCCAGGACAGCAGGGACCCAGGACAGCAGGGACCCAGGACAGCAGGCTGACCCTACACAGATTTTCCACTGGGCAGAGGGTCAGTGCCCCAACCCCTGTGTTGTCTGAGGGTCAACTGTGTGTGTCTGTGGTGTGTGTGCGTCTGTGGGAGTGGTGGTGCACATGTGTGTGTCTGCGCACGCGTGTGCACAAGCAGGAATGCACACGTTGAGAAAACCGCAGGCCAGGACGCCCACCCCAGGCCTCTGCATCCGACCCTGTGGACACCGTGGGGCGCTGCAGCTCAGGGCCGGGTCTAAGGCTGGTCCCTGCGGGGACGGAGCAGGTGGGCACCAGCGGGGACTCGGGAGTGACGCAGTGAGGACTGCATGGTGCCCCCAGGGAGCAAAGCCCCCAGCAGCCGGCGCTGTGAAAGGGACAGGTTGGGGACATGTGGAGTTAGCTCTGCTCTCCACTTGGGTGGCTGTGAGGTCACCAGTCCCCAGTCCCCAGACCTGCGTTCACGCCGCCCACCACCCACCAGCAGTTAGATGGTGGGTGAGGCTCTTCACTTTCTCATCCAAACAGCAGCGGCCGGGGCCGCATGGGGGGTAGGGGTGCAGCCAGCCCTGCTGGGAGGACTCGCGGCACCCATGCCCAGTGATGAGGGCTGCCCTGGCTTCCGTTTCTGTCAAGCACTGGGGTCGAACCTCATGACCTGAGGTCTTCCCGTAACCAGGACTGGTCAGACCTGTTTCCAGTTACCACGGCGACGAGGTTGCCATGGGGACGCTGTGATTGGACGTCATTTCTGGGGGTGGGCCCGCACATGGGTAATTAGGGCTCACCCCTGGGGGAGGAGACCCTCGCTCTTCTCCCCACATCTGCCTAGCCCAGGTTTTCTTGTCTGTGAGTGGCTTCTGACACGTCCGGCCTTCAGAAGTCCGTTACAAAGGCTGATGAGGTGACGTATTCGAGGCCCTCAGTGCTCGGCTTGTTCAGGGGCTGCTGCACCTGCGGTGCTCTTACTGTCCTGGGGACAGAAGCTGGCCTTTCCCGTGGGCCGTGCCATCCCGGGCACATCTGCAGATTCCTCCAGGACCCGCCCGCGTCCCCAGCCCCTCGTGGCGCTCCAGGCTCAGGCGTCAGCACGCAGCCGGCCCCCTGGGAGTTGCTAAGTCCTGGCGCCTGGGCCACACACGAGCCTGGGGTGTCAGGCTCCCGGGCGGGAGGCCTTCCAGAGCTCCTGGTGGCCCACCTCACAGCCTCAGACCCCTGCCTGGTCTGCAGGCCATGGCTGCTGGCCCCAGGGACCAGGGCGTGGGCCAGCACATCAAGCTGCGTGGTCAGCATGGCATGTTCTCACACAGCAAAATTTCGGGAAAACTTATTTCCTATGAAAACAAGCCCAGATATATTTTGAAAAAGCCTCCCTGAGAGGCTCCCCTCCACTGACCGGCCTAGCCCCTCCAGGCCTCTACTTCCTTCATTCTTATTTTAAAAAGCCTGTGTAATAAATGAACAAATCCCACTGTATACAACTCCATACAAGCAGACACACAGGAAAAAAATTGAAGTCCTTCCACGCTGCGCGCTGTCCTCAGGAAGCAGCCGCCGGGAGCTCTGGCCAGCTTCCCACCAGGCCTTTTGCCGTGAAGATACATGCGTGTGTCATCTCAGCTGAGCGAGTGACTGTCGCAGCTTCTTTGATTTTATATAAATGGGCTCAGGTCACAGACATGGGTCTGTAACTTGTCTTTTTATGCAACAAGGCGACATGGTGACCTTTCGAATTAGTAAAACAGAGCGAGTTCAGTCTCGTCACTGCTGCATCGTATTCCTGAGCAGCACGGCTCAAACTTTGCTCTCAGGGCCCCTGCACACTCTTAAACATCACTGAGGACCCCAGAGATTCTTGTGGGCGTGGACTGCACCTGCTGCCCGCAGTCTGAATTTTATTGGCCTGACAGGGAGATGGGGAGTGGGAACTCCACATGGCAGCAGACGAGCTGAGCTGGGGAGGTTGTGCCCAAACATCGAGATCGAAAGTGACCTCCTGTGTCACTTTCGGGTCCTCTGGGGTGATGCAGGGCTGGCCCCCAGGGGTCTCTGGGGCTCACACCTGAATCCGACTCTGGACTCATATGTGACCATAAGGACCACCTAATTCCAAGCCAGCATCCTGCCAGGAGGACAGAGGACCATCCCAGGCAGCACAAAGCTGATCATCTTATCGACAGAGCTCTGGGTACCCACCTCCGTGAGGGGAGAAGTCCTGGCTGGACACAGCTCTCGGGGGCAACACCCTTGTGACGCCTGCTTCCTCTTCAGAGATGTAGGTGGCCCCACGTTGCAGGGAGATCCCAGGTGTGGCGCCCGGACGTGGCCACCTTCAAGCAGATTTCAACAACTTCAGCCCTCGCAACAGTCCTGTTGGGTCGGTGCTGTCATCTCCCACTTTGTGGATGAGAAAACTGTCACTTAAGCTCTTCCCTTAAGAGTTTGTCAGTCAGTCTGTGTGCCACCAGCGCCTGAGGGTCTGAGCACTGGGCCTGGAAGGCGTGAAGCACGCCGCCCCACCCACAGCACCATGACTGGAAGTTTGTACCAGCTGGTTCTGATGGTTCAGAGGTGCGTGGCCAGGTGCCCTGGCAGCTCTGGCCTCTCCCCACTGCCTACCAGCAGCGAACACCCCCTGGCTGCGACACCAAAAACGCCCCAGAACTGTGGGATGTCCTCTGGGGGCCCACGCACCGCTGCTTGAGAACCACTGGCTTGAAGCAGGGGTTCTGGGCCCACACTGTGGAAGTCGCCTCCTGGGGCAGGAGCCAGGGATACAGATCAGGAAGCCCCCGATGACTCCGCCGGCCCCAGCTGCCCTGCCTAGAGGTGGGGCCTTTCTCGGCTCAGGGAGACGAGAGGCTCAGCAGGTGAGGAGCTGAGGTCGGGGCCTTTCCCTGTAACAGCTTTTTCAAGAAGGGAGGGAGAAGGCTTGGGGTCTCCTCAGGCCCGAGGCAGGGAAGGGGCTGTGGGGTGCAGGCATCAGGAGCAGAAGTGACTCCCGGCTCCTGTCAAGGGCCCGTCTCCCTGCCGTTGGCAAAACTGGACCCCCCCCCCCCAGGTCCCTAGACGTCACAAGAGGAGTTGAGCCTGTCTGACTGGCAGGTTCTGGGCAACTTTGTCTGACACAACTCAAGGGAATGGCTGCTGGGCTCAGCGTGGAAAGACAGTCTGCAAGCGGTGATCTGGGGAGAAGAGTGGACAGAGGAGCCGCCGCCCAGCCAGCTGAGCGTCCACGTGTGAGTCGGGGGCCTCCCCTTCCTCGTCTGCAACGCGGGTGGGTTGGGGAATGTGAGTCCTGAAGATCCTGCAGCCCCGACAATCTCTCTGCTTCTGCTCTGTCCTTTTGACGTCCCCCCCGCGGTCCCCAAGCACAGACAGCTGTTTGGTCTCCCGAGCACGGCGGGAGGACCGAGTTAGAATCCACTGTCGACGCTTAGTTGACCCAGAAGCGGAGGGCTGTCCTCCTGGCTGGCGCCCTGCCAGTCTCATCGGGCGGCTCGCAACAAAGATCAAAGGGCACGAGTGTACTTGGTTGTTTTCCAGACCACAGTTTGCTCTTCTCTGTCTCAATCAGCTAAGTGAAAAATGTAAGAAAAATGGCCTAAGAATAGTAGATCTCATGTCCTCCCTTTTGGGTCTCCCTCTTGCGAACCACTTTCCTTCATCAGAAAGGGGGGGGGGCTGTGTATCTGGAACCAGGAAAGGTGAGTAGGTGTCTTCCTCCTGATGCTTGTAAACACTGTCGGAGTAAACTGGTCCTGGCCCCAGAGAGGAGGCAATGCCGCGCTGATCTCACCGAGAGGCAGGGCCAACAGCAGATCAAAATGCCCTGCACCTGCTCTGACACCCGACGCGTCAGCTGCATTAGGGCGGGAGACCAGCGTCCCAGCATCACGGCGCCAGCCCAGGGCTTGGGTACCAGCTCCACCCTGTGCTGGAGCTGGAGACCGACATGAGTCATGAGACCTCTTAGGGCCCCAGTGTCTCAATTGTAAACGGGGACGCATATAGTAATGATAACAACAGCTGCCACTAGAGGCTTGTGGTGAGAGTCGGCGCGATCGATCGTATGCGGGCGGCACTTAGCACGGCGCCTGGGGTTGTGCCACCTTTGCCGGCTTTTGTTTCGTGTTTCTAAATTTTCCTCCTTTTTCTCTGATGAGGAATTAACCAGCTTTTAAATTTATTTATAAATCTAGCTGCTGTTCTATTCTATAACTCACTTTTTCTATTATCCTCATTAATCCTTTTTTCTGTTTTGCTTCAGTTTTTTAATTGTTCTTTTTCCAACTTTTTGAGCAAGACGATGAATTCATTTTACTTTCTTTTTCACTGACGTAAATATTTAAGTCTATGAACACGCTTTATTTATAGCCCACAAATTTGATCTAGTATTCCCATTATTACTGTTTCCCAGAAATTCTGTAATTTCGCTTTGTATTTCCCTCTGACCCAAAAGTTGATTAATAGGGAATTATAAAACTTTCAGGTGATGTTATCAACCTCCAGTTTTATTTCACAATGATTAAAAATATTGTCTACATTATTTTGAAATTAGTTGAAATTATTTTGTGGCTTACAACTTGGCCAATTTTTGTGAATAAAGCTAGCACAGAAATGGGATATTCTAATAGACTCTTCTCTTAAACTCTTTACAATGCATGCGACTGTCGAAATCAAGCACCCTCACATCTCCCGGATTGACTGATTTATTATGAAGGCACCAAGGTGGTTGTGAGGCTTCTGCAGTTACCATGGAATGGCAGAATACTAACTGGATGCAGACCATGAGCTGTTGGGGACGCTCGCTGTAATCTCTGGAGCAACTGCTAATAAAATAACACAAAAAGATGAAGCCAAAAGGACAAGAGAGCATTTAAAATGGAATACTAAGCAAATACTCCACTTACTTGAAGGAGGCAGGAAAAGGGGACACAGCCAGAGAGGACAAACAGAATCTCCTGCAAATCATGTGCTTCTGCTGACCTGCCTCGTGTCTTCCGTCATCTCTGCTTTTTGAAAGTTTTGTAATACCGAGTGTGTTGATGTTCACGATTGTTACATCTTTGCTGTAAATTATAATGCTAAAGGCCTCAAAGTGTCTTTGCTCTGCCTCATTTCATGTGTTGTGGCTGAAAAACTACCCTGTCCATATTAAGACTGAAACTTGAGCCTTTTTTTTTGTTGTATGTCTTTGCCTATACTTTGATTTTTTTTTCCTTTTAAATACCTGGGTGAGTTTGGGGTGAATCTCTTGGCTACACCTGCAGAGTTGGATCTGTCCCTGATTGTGGCAGCAGCTCCCTGTGGTCCCAGAGCCCCTCACCCTTGAGGTCAACATCCCCTTGTGTGATTCCTCCTACGTCAGCCAGGGCACCTCTGTGTAACCAGTGGAAGGTGGTGGAAATGATGGCGTGTGTTGGATGTGGGGACGTCTACTAAAGTGACCAGGTCTGACTTCTTTCCCTTGTCTTTTTGTCTGGACACCTAAAGGATTTCCCTTGTATTAAACTCCACAGGGCACATGACACGCAGGCGCCGGTCCAGGGCACTGGGGGGAGCTCCCTCTGCCCTCGACCCATCATGTGCAGCCCCTCCCAGGGCTCTGGCCAAAGTGAGAAGAATGTGGGATTTGGAAAAGACACCTGACTTCCACACCCAGCTCTGTTGTGGCTAGAATGTCCTGCGGCCTCTCTGAGCCCCATCCGTAAGTGGGTTTAGCACCGTCTCTGACACCTCATCTGTAGGTCTTAGGCCTGATCAGACAAGCTCGTGCCAGTGGGAAAGGAAGGCTTTCTTGAACGGCGCCAGGAGCTGGTGGACATCTGGATGCTGTTGCCTGACACAGTCCTCCCAGAGCAGGTTATGGGGGATATGGCCCTGGCTTTCGGGAACATGTGGTCTAGCTATGCCCACTGAGGCAACACCCACAAATTAAACATACAAAATACGTTTAAGGAACCAAGTAAACTGTTCCGAGTCAGTGGCACAGATTTCAGAGAAGGAAGTGAGAGTGGGGGCTGGGGGTCTCAGGAGGTCTTCCTGGAGAAGGAGAACTGGAGCTGGTCTCCATGGGGCAGAATTCAGAAAGGCAGAATAGGGTGGAGACTGGAGGACATCCCCCAGGGGCTTTAACCCACGGCTGAGATTCCAAATACTGATAAGGATGCATGGCCCAGGAGGGCAAGGGAAGCACCAGCCAACCAGAAAGGACTCACCAACAGCTGGAGGCAGCCAGCATTAGCTCTTGGTTTCCTGGATGTCAGGGTGGTTTGATGGCAAATTTTTTGGGTCAGCTTGGCTGGGCCATAGTGCTGATAATTGGTTAAACACCAGTCCACATGTTGCTGTGAAGGTATAATTTAGATGAGATTAGCATGTAAATCAACAGATTTTGAGTAAGGCAGATTGCCCTCCATAATGTGGGTGGGCCTTGCCCAAGCAGTTGAAGGTCTTAAGAGAAAAAGACTGCAGTTCCCTGAAGAAGGAGCGTTCTGTCAGCAGACGGCCTTCAGACTCACTTGAGCTGTAGCACCAGCTCTTCCCTGGATTTCCAGTCTACCAGCCTGCCCTGCTGACTTCAGACATGCCAGCTCCCCCCCCACCCCGTCACTCTGGGCCTGCATGGGGTCCTCCATTGCTGGTGCTGCGCCCTTGCAGGCCAGTGCGCCTGGTGCTGTCAACACTGCTTGAATTGATGGGGGACCCAGCCCATAACCAGAGGCCCAAGATGAGTCCTTGGTTACATGGAGTCTTGTAAGACCACAGAAGTCTGCCCTGACCTGGCACGTTGCCCCTCTGGACCTCAGTCTCTCTCCCACCAACCCTCCCCGCCCCAGCACCAGAGAAGGCCCTCTGCGTCCTGACTTCGTGTGCTTCTGGCTGAGTCAGAAGGAAGGAGGGAGGTGACTCCAGGGTCCCAGGTAGAAATGCTCTGTGGGCTGCACATGCAATTTAAACATGCTGGAGCCACGTGAAAGGTGTCACAAGAAACAGAGGAAATTACCAAAGTCATGTAACCCAAGGTACCGAATACCCTTTCAGTGTGCAGGCCATATGAGAATGTGTTTACACTAGTTCACTTTCTTTTGGTGTTAGGTCTTCACACTTGGTGAATATTTTATGGTTACAGCACATCTTAAGTCAGACACTAAATTTTCAACCATTAAGGGGAAATGTCATCCTACCACAATCATAAAGGTGCATTTAAAGCAAAAACAGCTTGCACTGCCTCTGACTTTCAAGCTGAATTAAAATTGGGTTCAGCCTTTCAGCCCCGCCATGCTGCATGTAGGGTGCCACCCAGCGGCCGAGCCTGGGAGTGCAGGGTCCAGCCGGGGATTCGAAACCTTCCTGAATACTGATTGTGATGGTGGTGCTTGAATTTGTACGCACACTTTCGGTGGCGGAAAGGAAAGCGAGGCAAAGCAGTGGTTTGTGTGTTCATTCCCGGTTCCCAAATCACCGTGGTGACTGCATTTGGCACGTGCAGGGTTGTCTGGTGTCCTTAGCCACCTACTCTGGCTGCCGTGATGGGCTGAGCCTGCGGAAGGTGATGAAGCGTCCGAGCCCAATGGCTGGATTGCAGAGCTGGTGGCCGTCTCGGTCAGCTCAGGTGCCCAGGACAAACTGGACCTCAGTTTGAGGTCCCTGAGTACACAGAACTGGGTACTCACAGCTCTGGAGGCTGGAAGTCCAAGATCAAGGTGCCATCGGGTCGGTCCAGCGGAGACCTCTCTTCCTGGCTTGCAGAGGGCGTCTTCTCGCTGTCTGCCCCTGCGGCCTCTTCTCTGCGTGCATTCAGAAGAGTGCTCTGGTGTTTCTTCTTACAAGGTCCACCACCCTTACGACCTCGTGTAACCTGAATTACTATCCTAAAGTCTTCGTCTCCAAATTCAATCACACTGAGGGTTAGGGCTACAACACATGACTTTTGGAGAACACATTTCAGTCCACAACAGTGGCAGTCACCCCATTTTATAGCTGGCAACTGAGGTTAAGTCTTGCTCAAAATCATGCAGAGCCGGGAATGGGCCAGGCCGTCAGGCCCCTGAGCGCCCATTCTCCCGTGAGTGTTCACAGTCTCTTTGCCTCTGGTCCCCGTGGACAAAAAGATTGATCCACAGTCAATCTAAGAAAGAAATGGAAGGTTTTACTGGAGTGAATCTGGGGGTTATAACCCGGGAGACGTTTTCTCACAGAGAACTCTGAGGACTGCTCCGAAGAAGCAAGGGGTGGGGAGGTCAGCATAGCTGTAATTTGGGGGAAGGGGAACGTGCAGCCAAGCACTCATCCGGGTAGAAGCTCCTGCTGGTCCCAGGGAGCAGGTATCTTAGTTGATGGTTTGAGTGCTTGTCTAAGTAGGGGAAGATGCAAGACATCGGGTTCTTAAAACTTTCTCTTGAAAATATCTAACCATCTGAGGGCCAATTTTATCAGTTTTCCAGAGACCAAAGTGCCTCCTCCTGACCTTAGCCCTGAATTCCTTTCAGGATGTGAACTGCAGCGGCTCTTGACTTGGTTCTTGTAGAACTGGATGGTGCAACATTTTTTATTTCGCAATCCTTTCCCTTTCGGTCCTAATTTTGACTCAGGTTTGGAAGGCATTTCCTGGCCGATTTGTCCCAAGGCGCCGGGAGTGCTCGCTCCAGGGTCAGGCAAGGCCTCCGCTGATGCGCCACTCCCCGCGCTGTTACTGGACTGGGCCCTGCTAGCAGTGGCCCAAGGCCTCTGCCTGCCTGTCTTACTGGTCTGTTACGGTTCGGGAAATGGTCTTCCATACCCAGAGCTGCACGCCTGCGGTCGTTGGCCTTACAGGGCCGCATGTTTGAGCAATGGTTTCCAGCTGCTTAGTCGTCATTGATTCTGTCTGAGACACAGGCTTGCGTCTGATAACGCAGGAAGTGCGAGCCTGGCGGAACACACGGAACGCGGCAGCTAGCAGCACTAGTAAGGCCGCACTTCTCTTTGTTCTAGAAAAGCGTCTAAGCACTTGAGCTAAGACCTTCTGTTAGGTGAGGCCCAGTGTCTCCCCAGGTCGTCTGACCGGCCTGTTCTGCACCGGTTGCTGCCTCTAAGGGAAGTGATGCGCCGGCATTGTACACAAGGTCCACCAAAGATGTCTGCACGTCCAGGGTGAGCGGTGGGTCACCTTGACCCCGTGCAGGGTTGAGAGAGGAATGCTACCTCCTAAGGAGTTCCACGGCTGGTGCCAGAAGAGAGAACACTTTACCTTTATGGTTGAGCAGGCATTTCTGGTGAACACACAGTGCCGATGCAGATTGCACTCCAGAGAGCAGGCAGGAGGCCCAGGCGGGCAGAGAAAAACTGTGCGCTTAAAATTTTCTTGTCTTGTCATGACAAAGGTCGGGAGAGGCCAGAGGGGAGGAGGGGCGGGGGTTTGAGAAGAAGGTTGATTCTGTGTGCTTGATCGTTTTACCCTTTTCAGAGACATGAACTGGAAAGCCACAGAAAGCCTTTCTTTGTTCTAGAAAGGGGCCTAAGTAACTGATTTCCACGAAGCGAGCAAGCGCCTCACCTCATGCTGCTGTTTGCAGCTGCCATCAGCGTCTCTCTGCTCCTCCTTGTCCTTCGTGGATGGACACCCAGACCGGCACAGACGTCCCGTAGACAAACCTGGTCCTCCAAGGCTTCCTAGGCAGCCGAGGGGTCAGGGCGGCTGGAGAAGGGCCACAGGCCCCGTGGGCAGAGGGGAGAGAGGGGAGCTCCTGGGCTCCCCAGGAGGGACACCGGTGTTGGGGTGCATGTGAGCAAGGGTCCCCACAGGCTTCCCGGAAGCTGGAGGAAGGCCTCTGGGCTTGTGACTGTGCATTCTGTGCGGAGGCTGGTCTGGGAAGCGGCTGGGCCCCACCCCTCCAGGCTCTGTGCACAGCTTCAACCCGAGTCACGTAGCCCCAAGAGGCACAGGGCCCAGCTGGGCAGCGGACGCTGAACTGTTTGTCACTCTCAGGCTCCCTGAGACGTAGGGGAATCTGAGCAGCACCGCGGTCAGGAAGCACTGGGACCCGCCAGGCGGGCCCTCCCCAGTCCCGTTAGGCAGGGTTGGCCCAATGGGGTTCCATTCTTGAGGTCCAGTTA